GGCTGATAGGGGCTGAGAGGTTGCATACTCTAATTCTGAGGAGAAAGAAGAAGGTACCAGTCCCTCATTTTGACCATGCAGTCAATTATGTAACAATATTGTCTGACTCCATGGAACCACTATGGTAGAGTGAGGTAAATAAGAAGTGGAGAGACAGTTCTCTGATCAGAGGATGCCCCAGGGGAAAAAGACACTGACTAAAATGGATGAAATTGGTGTTCCCTCAGACTGGAAATAAGGTGTACATTTTTGGCAGTGAGGGTAATTAACCACTGGAACAATTTACTAGGGGTCATGGTGGGTTCTCCATCACTGGCAATTTTTAAATCAAGATGGGATGTTTTTTTAAAAGACCTGCTTTAAGATCTATGAGGGCAGAGAGAGTCCTATGGGCTGTGTGATAAAGGAGATCAAACTAGATGATCACAGTTGTCCTTCTGGCCCTGGAATCTCTGAATCTGTAACTAATTTGTTCTTATGTGTGTATTTATGATTCAGAAAAGTTAATAGTTAATATTATTAACCTGATATCATTGTGCAGAACAAATGCATTTTAAATCAGTGCTGAAAGTGAGAAGGAAAGTTGGGGGCATTTCTGAAGTGCTACAGCTCCCTATAATGCCATTACTCACATTACAAGAAGATATATGGGACAGTGGCTCCTGGGCCAGCCACACAGGCTGCTGCTTAGGCGGCCCTAGGTAGCTGGCCCCAGGGCCCACCCAAGCAGCAGCCGATGCGGCAGGCCCTGGGGACCGCCTAAGTAGTGGTCCTGGGGTGGCCGGAGCAGCCGTTGGCAGCTCCCTCACCCCAGGCTCCGCTCCCCTCCAGCAGGGTCCCCCCCCCCCCAAGATTTAGTCAGGGGTATTTATGGTGTAAGTCATGGACAGATCACAGGCCATGAATTTTTCTTTATTGCCCGTGACCTATATATGACTTTTACTAAAAATACCCATGACTAAACTGTAGCCTTAACTATAGTATTATTGGTATTTCTAGTGGGTTAGTTAACCAGTGTTCCAGGTTAGATAACTAACTACTGCATGAAATGCAGTCAGATTGTATGAGGTAATTTTCAAAATCAAATGTTACTTTAAATATTGTCAGGTTTCAGAGGAACAGCCGTGTTAGTCTGTATTCGCAAAAAGAAAAGGAGTACTTGTGGCACCTTAGAGACTAACCAATTTATTTGAGCATGAGCTTTCGTGAGCTATAAAGTGAGCTGTAGCTCACGAAAGCTCATGCTCAAATAAATTGGTTAGTCTCTAAGGTGCCACAAGTACTCCTTTTCTTTTTTAAATATTGTGTTCTTGAAAGTGAGATGCTGACAGCATAAACATAGTCAAGGCCTTGTGTATTGTGTGGCAGGCTGGATCTAAATTCTGTGGCAAGGCCCCCTAGTTAAGAACGACCCTACTGGGTCAGATCAACAGTCCATCTAGCCCATTACCCTGTCTTCCAAGTATGTTACATGCTTCAGAGGGAATGAACAGAACAGGCACTCATCAAGTAATCCCTGTTGTCTCTTCCTAGCTTCTGGCAGTCAGAGGGTAGGGACAACCAGAGCATGGGGCTGCATCCCTGACCATCTTGGCTAATAAGTTTATGGAGGATAGGTCCATAAATGGCTAATTCTTTTTGGAACCTTGTTATAGTTTTGGTCTTCGAAACATCTCCTGGCAACGAATTCCACAGGCTGACTGAGCTGTGTGAAGAAGTACTTCCTTTTGTTTGTTTTAAGCCTGCTGCCTATTAATTTCATTGGGTGACCCCTAGTTCTTGTGCTATATGAAGGAGTAAATAACACTTTCTCTTTCCAGTATGGCAAACTGGAAAATCTCAAGCAACTTCAGGTTAACTAGGAAATGGAAGTTTTTACTGATAAATATAATCTATATAGGAGACTTTGGATTATTATTTTGATGTTAAATACAATTCTACACATCCCCAAATTTTCAGTATGCTGTGGAATTTTATATTTAAACATGCAAGTACATTATGGAAGTTATCAAGTGGGAATAAAGAGGGTTAGATAGCTGGATAGGAGACACCTGGAGCCTTTGGCATTTGTGGAGGAGTGGGATGTAGAGGCTTTTGGCACCGAGGATGGGATTCATTCCCTCTCTCTCCTGTTGTGGACAGGGACACAGGTGACTAGATATTTTTGGGAGAAGGGACCTGTATTCCTACGGCCAGATCCTCTGCCCTGCTATAGCAGCTTCATATTTGCTGCTCAAAGCAGGCTTAAACCCATCTTTTAACAAAACAAAACAAAAGCATGAGAGGAGTTCCCCGAGGTAGAGAAATCCTCTGGTTGCATAGTGCAGCTGTAAAGTTCCTATGCCAATATCTCCTGGGCCCTGGTATAGGAGGAATGAGCCACGAGAAAATGGGACCTAGTTAGGGCACCCCCAAACCCTGGCCAATTACTAGCTGCTAACAATAGCCTAACATGACTGTACATTATCTGCGGCCGGGGGGGCGAGAGGCAGAGTCAGGCCTGACATTCCCAAGAACAAGGGAGAGCAAAGGTGATAACACGCCACTTTTTGTGCCAAATATAGCTCAGAGTTATGCAAATGTCCAGAACCCAGGAACTGGAAACAATGGTTTCCTGCCCCAGCAACACTTAATTAACTGATTTCCCTCTGCAACTGCATCCAAGGAAGATGGTTAAATTGAACGTTTCTGATAATATAATTACAAGCAAAATAATCAACAATTTTGATATTTAAACTCACTCTCTCTCTCTCTGTAGGTACTTTGTATGGACCCTTCCTCATAACCTTTGAGCACCTCCCGGTAATAAACTTCATAACCTCAGAGTATAATGAGACCAAAGGAATACAGTCAAGATCAGAAGAATAACTGCTTGACTGTTTTTCAACCCAAAATATAGAGCACAGAGAAATTATTATTATAGTGCAATCAGTGTTCGTGCCAACCATAATTTTATGTCTCCTTACAATCTAGTTTCATGGTATGAAAATTAAGAACATAAAATGAATGTTCAAGATTAACTAAATTTAACTACAATGAGACTAATGTAGCTCATTTCTAAATTTCAATTCTATTGCTTATGGGGTCTTCAAAAGCAACTAGTTTGCCTCATTCTGCTAATGTAGCTTTTATTTAACAGTTTATATTAAGTGCTTTGTTTTTCAAGTCTATATTTATTTAAAATGTCCTGAATATGCATTAACATTGAACATATTGTTAGAATAGTACATGAAAGACCACCACAAGCAACAATGATACTTTTCTTGTTATAAAAATATCTGCCCCACCTCTCCTTTCCTTGGGCCTGTGAGTTGCTCCACACTGCCACAATAGCTACATGTGTATTTTCAGTACAGAGGGCATGCCCAGTGACAGCATTTAACTGAATACATAACACAGTTAATAAATGCCAATTTAATTTTTCAGGAAACCTATTCCACTGATTAGAACAAACAGTAAACAAAAGGCATCCCCTTTCCGCTTTTTAATTTGAAGGATCATTTCAAGGCTGGTGCCAACCTGGTCTGTAGTCAACTGTTTACCCAATGATACGTATGCAACCTGTTTTCTGGGAAACAGGGATTAATAGCTTTTTCACAGCCAACATTAAGTCACAACACTATTGACAGTTTCCTTCCAATGAACCCATTCACAGAAAAATTGTGCCCCCTTTTTCCCCCCACACCAAGCATTAGTGAAATTCCCTGCTTTGCTTCATTGATTTAGAAGTCGGAGAATCATTATGTGCTTCCAAAGTCAATGGTTTCATTTTGTGCGTGAGTGTACATGCATGCGCCTGATCAGGGGATGGAAGTGCACTGCAAAACTTTTAGGGGGAAGGTTTCTTTTCTGAGCTATCCAACCAAGAGCCTCACATGACAAACAGACCAAGTGAACAACCTTAAAATAAAACTATTCAATCTTCCTCTTTCATGTGCACCCCCTTAAAATTGAACTATATCACTTCTCTCTCTTGGGGAAAAAAAAAATCCAGACAAGTCACCAGCAGATAGACTTCCTCCCTCATTCACTGAGCTGGTCCCTTCAAGAAGGGGCTAGCATAGGAGGAATTCTCTTTTACCAATGTCCCTACCTAGGTTCGTCTGGGATGCTGTCATTTCCCTAATGCTACTCTGCTAGCTCCCTTAGCACCAGCTTTTATCCAAAAAAGGGTTGTCTTGGTTAAAAGATTAAATGGAAACTGAACTCAGCTTTCAGCAGCGAGGTTAACAATCACAATGTTGACTGTGTGAGCAGTTCGCATATACAGACACAAGCTGTGTTCAACACCATGTCAGCTGGTTCTGGGTAAACCCTGAGATTTATCGATGGTCCAGCTAGCAGAATATTGAATGTGATTTTTCCCTGTCTACCCTCACTGCAAGGTCATGGTCCACATCTAGTTAGTTAACACTATTTCTCAAGACTGTTTCAACTACATACTTTTCTAACAAAGACAAATGCTCCCTGGCCGAAAGCACCTGCTGTGAGCATTGAGTAGCATTGTGGGTTTCACAGTGTGGAGGAGGGGGGGCGGAAAAATTCAGAGTATGACCATAAACTATTAATTTTCAAGCAAAATTAACCCAGATTCAAGTTTACTTAATGGAAGAATCGTATACTTAAAAAACAAATTGACTGGTTATAACCTCCTTTAAGACGACAATTCAGTTTAGGTGACACTTAATGAGCAACATAGAAGGGAAGCCAGTTATAATGCAACTGCAAACAAACCTACACAGTGAGGTAAAACCCATATCCTGTAGAACACTGTTTTAATAGTTGTTGAGTGTAATCAGTCAATGAGCACAATACATCACACTATTCAGAAACCTATAACAGCTTCCCAAGTCCTGTGTCTAACCAACTAGACAAACCACTTCTAAATACAGAAAGTAAAGATTTTACTACATCTCTCCAATATTCTGAAATGTGCTGTGCAGAACTCAAACTGATTTTTAGGCCTTACTTCAGCTGTGTACTAAAACTTTATTTCCTACCTGTAATGTACATGTGTGACAGTCGGTCGTCTGTAGCCAAGAATCCAGGTCTGGATGTCTATAGGTTCTTCATTAGGGTAAGCAATGGTTGTATCTATCACCCACTGAAGACCTTTTGATTTGCTCTCTACGAATAAAGTGGAAGAAAGAAGATGGGGTGTTAAAAATTAGATCAAATTATATTCCATTGGCTTGACATCCATTCTAGTGTTACATTTCCTTAATATTATATCACTTAATTTGTACAAACATTACTTAAATCCCCCAAAAAATCAGGTAGATCAAGAGAAAGACTAAAGACATGGTGAATATCATTCTACGTAAAACCTCAGAAATATGGTCAAAATCTCAATGTAATAACTAAACTGTCTAACAATTAGTGTAATTTTTATTGACATGATCTATGGCAGGGGTCAGCAACTTTTCAGAAGTGATGTGCCGAGTCTTCATTTATTCTCTTTAATTTAAGGTTTCGCATGCCAGTAATGCATTTTAACATTTTTTAGAAGGTCTCTCTCTATAAGTCTATATATTATATAACTAAACTATTGTCATATGTAAAGTAAACAAGGTTTTCAAAATGTTTAAGAAGCTTCATTTAAAATTAAATTAAAATGCTGATCTTACACCGCCGGCCCGCTCAGCACGCTGCCAGCCTGGGGTTCCGTTCACCTAGGCCGGCAGCAGGCTGAGCGGGGCCTGCGGCTGGAACCCCAGCTGGCAAGGGGTTGGCAGCCAGAACCCTAGACCGGAAGCAGGCTGAGCAGGGCCAGCGGCCGGGACCCCAGACCGGCAGTGGGCCGAGTGGCTCAGCCCACTGCCAGTCTGGGATCTCGGCCCTGCCCACATAGAGTGGGTACCTACCTTCTCCCTGGTTCTAGCCCATTCTCTTCCTCTCTCTCTCTCTGCACTGAGCTGAGGGTGGGAGTGCACTGAGCACAGGGCTGGGGGTGAAGGAGTAGGCTGGGGGTTGGGGTGTAGGGCCTGGCCAAGAGCTAGAATGAGGGAGGGGACTCAGGGTTGGGGCAGGAGGTTTGGGTGTGGAGTGCTTACCTGAGCAGCTCCCATTTGGTGCAAGGGGGAAGGTGGGTGTGTGTGTGCAGGAGCTCCCGTTTGGTGCTCAGGGTGGGGGTGGGAATGTGGGGGGTGCAAGAGTCCGGGCATAGGGTGTGGGGGGTGCAGGAGTCAGGACATGGGGGGGCTGGAGTCATGGCAGAGGACTGGGTGTGTGTGAGGGGGTGCGGGCTAGGGTCATGGGGGTGCTCCCAGCCCCCTGCCCAGAGCCGCTCACGGCAGGGAGCTGGAGGGAATATGCCCTGATTCCACCCCCCTTCCCCAAGGCCCCGTCCCCACCTCTTCTCCGCCTCCTCCCCGGAGCAGTGAGCTGCTCGGCTTCTCCCCCTCCCACTCAAGGGCCATCAGCTGATTGGTGGCAGTGAGGGAGAGGAGGAGAGGCGAGGCAGGAACCCAGCACGCTGGGGGAAGAGGTGGGGGGGGGGAACCTTGTCTGCCTTGCAGCAGCAGCCAGCAGGACCAAGTTTCTTCACCCTGCCCCCGCGGTGGGGGCGGCGGCAAAGAGCAGGCCAGGGTGGGCAGGATTTTTAATGGCATGCTGCTGCCTGCCGGGGTCCTGGCCTGGGTTTGGCAGAGGGCTGAGTGGGGCCGGCGGCTGGGACCCGGCAGGCAGCAGCATGCCATTAAAAATCGGCTCGCTTGCCGTGTTTGGCACGCATGCCATAGGTTGCCAACCCCTGATCTATGACTTGTGTCCCAGCATGCTCACTGTTTCACTTTGTTTTGATACACTGCTTTTTATATGTATTTATACAGAAAGCCACAATATTTTTAAAAAAATGTTAAAAGTCCCCTTTCCTACATTATTAAAGAACGCCACCATAGATTATAAAAACTGATAGATTTTTAGAAACCTCAAGTCACATTTAACCATTTCTGCAGTTTACTTTTTCATTCAGTTCATTCTGTATTTCATTCAGTTTGGGCAGTTTAATTTGCTGCTCTCTCATGCATGAGCACAAAGTTGCAACATTTGGTTTGTAAACAATGCAGACAAAAACATACAAAAAGTTTTTAAAAATTAATCTCTTTTAAAACATGTCAGGGGAAATATTTCTGTTAGCATTAGTTTTTGTAAAAGCGCTCCTTCCCCTACACTACTCCAAAAGACGGGGAAAAAACACCGAAACCTAAATTATTTTTTAGATTAATATATTTATTGGCTTTCCTACCGCATTCACCACTGTATTATCTGAACATACATAAATAAATAATTTACCCTCAAGACACCCTTTTTAGGTAGGGAAGTATTACTGTCCTCTTTGTACAGAGAGAGAAACGGAACAACAGAGATTAAGAGACCTGCCTAAAATCACACGGAAATTTGTGGCAGGCCTCAGAATAGCACATTCCCAATCCAGCATTTTAAGCAAAAAAGACCAAGAGAAAGATCATTCCCTTCTCCAAGTGTCTTGGAGTGAACAAAATTTTTAAATTAAAACCCTTTTTCTTTCCAGAAAACAGATAACTCAAAAACACAATAAAAAAAAGCACAATAAAAAAGCAGGTGTTATCATCATACTAATGAGATAATAGGAAACTTGGTTCAAAACCTAAAAACATTTTCATGAAACAATTTTTATATTTTTGAATTTTCAAAACATTTCATCCACACTATAAAACTAGTAAAAAAGCCCAGCAAACATCTACTGCAAAACAATTCAGTTTTTTAAAAAGGAATTTCAGAGTTTCAACCAGCGTCAGTAAATATTGATTTTAATTCTGACCAAAATATCAAACAGTGGCCACTATAATTAGCTGAATAACATGAAGAAATAATTTAGAAAGATGAGAAGAATGACTCAAGTCATATTTTTAATGTTAGCAGTGTTAAATTCAATCTAATGCTAAAGTAATTCATAGCAAAGACAAAGCAGTTCTCTCTTTTTACATATATATATACACACATTTACCTGAAAAATACAAAGATAATTAATTTTTTATTTTCCATAGTGTGAAATAAAAATGAACTATTAACATTAGTCTTATTATGGGGTGGGAAGCACAAATCACTAGTAAGATGTGCCAGAAGAATACAAAATAATATTTTAACCAAAATCTTTGTATTTTACAATAAAAATTGTTCTAAGTTACTTAAAAAAAAAGAGTAGTGGTTTAAAACTGCTGTCTCAACACCTGATGGTTCGGACTCCATCACTGCAGGAAGGCCACTGCTGCCTCCCTCCCTCTTATGTGTTCCTTTCCTACTTGCTTGCCCTAACTTAGTAGCAATTGCAGTGCAGTGCTGTGTGGATGCCTCCAATCAGCTCCACCTCAACACAAAGAGAAACCACAGATCTGAGTCCTGCGACAAACCACTAGCCCTAACTATAAAAGGTCTTGCACTCTTTCAGCCTTTCACAGACCTCAGCTTTTAACATGGCAGCTCTTAACTAAATTAGTTACTATCGCATCCTACCACAAAGATACCAACTTGTCAAAGTCATAGATACACTTTAAATCAGGAATGTGAAGGAATCCATGACTTCAACCTTGTTCTTTCATTTGAAAACTTACAGACGCTGTCAACTTGAATTTTCTAATAGTTTTCTAACAGAAACAGTTTTCTAATAAAGCATTAATTTATTAGTTAAAGAGGAGTTAAACATTGCTTCTTGATGAAATGTTATTTACTGGCATATCTAAAATTATATAAGAAAATTTTTTTTTAAATGCCTTAGTAAACAAAAAAAATCACAAGTACGATGTTAATAAATGTGATTAACTAAAACTATCTACTATCAAAAAAGCCAGAAATTTAAGGAGAATAGCAAGGGCAGTAGACACTTTGTACGGTTGCTGGCAAAGTCAAATACTTGACGCAATATTCTGGTCATTAAAATTTATTGTCGCATAAGACAGGAGTTCACAACAAATGTAAACCAACACAAAGGTCAGCATTTTCACCAAGTAATCATATTTTTGTCTCAACATTTTATTCCTACTAATGTTTACAATGTTACAATTAACCCCTACAATTGCTAGAATGGAAAAAAGATTTATCTTTTGGTACATTTCTGGATGTATAGTCAGTTTCACTGGTTTTGTTGAATTGCATTATTTATGTTCTCCCTGAGAAAGTGTTTCCAATAACAGGAAAGCTAGAGCGAATACTGAAACTCAAGAGGAAGCAGGCTGTTGCACAAAGACAGAGCAGGCTATGCCCGCCTGAGCATGTTTGATGGCGCTGCTCTCAGGTCCATCCAAAAAGACTTCTGAACCCAAGAAATGATTTAAAAAAAAAATCAGGGCATGCTATTTGCTACATCAGCAAACTGATCTTTTTGAAATAAAAAAATAAAAATAAAAATTCAAGCTTACCGTGCCCCTCTTGGTTTTGTTATGAATTTGAATTGAAAAATCATTCTTAGATAGCACTGAATGTTCATCATACATAAGGGAGAGTATGGTTCTGTTTTGCTTAAAAAGGTCTTGGCAATTTTCACTACAATTTAAAATCCTGATCGTTGAAGGACAATTGGACTTCCTAACACATAGATAAGGCATATCTACACAATAAATGCACAGCCCCACTTTTATGATGGGCATAACCAGGCTATAATTTTAATTCCGTTTTAACCTAGTTCAAAGTTACACACCCATTTGGACGTAAAAAACATGGGGCACTGTTGTAATTGGAGTCCTGACAATTTGTAGTGTAAACATGCTTTACATGCGTCTGTTCAAGAAGCCCTCCCTCCAGCTCTGGTGTGACCAGGGCAACCACAACCATCCCTGGCAGCCAAGCTAGTTTGAACTTTCAATTTCTATTAAAAGACTCTCTCAATCTGCCTTTTTGGTAGAAGCGGAAATATCAAACAGCCTGACTACCAGAGAGCTCTCTGAAGCAGCAGCTAGCTACAACAACTTTGAAACTGACTTCACTGGGGTCTTGTGTTTTCTCCTTATGAGATTTCACCTGGGCTGCTACTTTCCAAACACTTTACTGTAAGCCATATTATTTTAATCTTTTAGTTTCTCTTTGAATAATTCAGAAACATTCACCCCCCTGATCCTTCTCTTTTAATAGAGGATGAATGTTCAAAATAGCCT